CCACTACCATTTTTCATAGTTGAAGGTATCCTATCCTTTTGTTTACTACCAATAACAGATCTAATAATAGACCATGTTGCTCGTAAATCTGATTTATGGTTCAAAAGTTTATTGTGATAATAACTTTTCCTGGCGAGTTTGACAAGGTAATTGTACTTATTACGATAATTCGTATAAGTTGTCTTATTGGAAATGTCAGGATTTTGAAGGTATTTTTTATATAGGCGATCTTTATAGTTTATTAAGACTTATAGGTATTAAAAGATACTACACTACTTGGTATATAATTATTTTTAAAACGGTTGGTACAAGACCAAATGTGTGTAAAATTGTCGTTATTTCTAAGATTGTAAGTACGTTTGTCAGGGAGAAGATCGTACAATTTATGACTTGGTTTAGTTCAGGGAGAAGATTGTACAATTTATGACTTGGATTATGGGTAAGGGTTGTCCTCTCCCATGCGTTAGCAATTGTTTTTGGCTTGATAGAGTTTGTAATCAGTTACTTCGGGAAGAAGTTTCTTGATGTCATTATATGGCATAAGGTCAACAATAATTGAAAGAATTTGGATTCTTGGCACCTTCGATTCCGATGCACTATAGATGCAATTAGGGCTTCTAAATAATCGTTTCTTGGATTGGGGATCTCTCTAGTGCATTTCTGCACCTGTCCTTTCGTAAAATCGTACCAAACATCACCTTCCTGGCCAGGGGCAATGGTCCCAATAACTGCCTGTACACCTTGATTAATCTTACGTAAATGTTCCCTATAGTTCTATCTGACACAGATGACCATGGATCTCTAAGGCAATAACGAACTGGACTAAAGTCTCGTTCACTTAAAACGTTATTCAGTTCTTCTATTGTCTTCTTGTCTGAAGTCTTGTTTGAGCAAGCTGGTAAGGATAGCTGTAGCTGGTATCCAGGCGTATCCGGTTCTACATATGATGAAGGACTTTGGTGGACTGGTGAGACATCAACGGTTGCATACACGGTTGCATGTGTACCAGTGCGTTTTTTTTTCACGGGTGCATTCTGCCGATTCTTCAACACATGGAAGTTTTTCCTTTATGTTCGAGATATTTCCTCTACAACTTCGGCATATCCCTTTGTAAAAACAGATGGAAATAATAGCACGTCATGGAAATACATGTGTGCATTACACACGTAAAAACGCATAAGTTGTTACAGGTCTGCAAACAAGTTGTTACAAATCTGTTCACAAGCTGTCAACAAGTTGTGTTTGCACTGCTTAACTGTTCCAAGTTGTTGTAACAAGCTTGATGGCATTATGGACTTGTAGCAAAGTTGTTCTAACAATTAACAAGATGTTACAAGGTTGATGACACAAGGTTGTAATAGTATTGTTATATCATGACTGTATCAGACTTGTTGGAACAATATTGCAACAAGTCTAATAATATCAACAAGGTTGTTACAAATTGTTAACAGTTTGTTCCAAACTTGTTGTTTGTTCCAAACTTTGTTGACAACTTGGGACAGGCAGTACGAAGACAACTTGTTTGCAGACTTGGTACAAGATGCGAGACTTTTGCGTGAGTAGACCGCACCTCTTCCCCATACACTCTGTTCGGTTCCAGTTCTCTGTATCTTACCTGACCCCACTGGAACAATATTTCCATATTTTTCTTTAATCCACTTTGACTGTTTTTTTCCAATTCTTCTGCCAGCTTTCTGTTTGCCACCATGCTCGGGAAAACGATCAGCAAAATATTTCTTGCCATCCGCCACCAAGCTGGTTTCGATGCTTCGGACAAACTGTATAACGTGATCGAACCTCGTCATCATATTCGAATATGCCAATTCGTGCTAGAATCAGATCTGCTTCCGAGGTTACGTCAGTTAAACCAACTGCTCTTAAATGCCCGTTGATGTTCCTCTTGCACATGGAAAGAGTAAAATTTCAGTGCTAAGGTTGACTTTTTCTGAAACGTCGCCGCATTCTGTTTCAACATGTTTGCGAATAGTACAAGACATGAGTACTTTGAGTTTCTAATTAAACAAATATATTATGGTTAAAAAGAACATACAAAGAAATTATATTATGGTTAGTGTCCCACAAACGGGGGAGGAGAAAGGCGGGCAGAATGAAGATGGCCGCCCAGAAATTGTTTTCTTCGTATGACCGCCTTAGTTAGTTAAAAACTTTATTAAAGTGTCATTTACATCTAGCCGGTTACAGATAACCTACTACAGATAACCTACTGTCATTTACATCTAACCTGTTACAGATAACCTGCTACTAGCCGGTTACAGATAACCTATACACCCTTGGCATTTTTTCTTCAGAAACGTCCAGTTCGTTTTTGCTGTACAATGAAATTTTCAATTTTGATTCTTCTACGATATTTTGCATTTACATAGAACATATAATTTCTAACAATCTGATGTTTTTTGTTTTTAAAATTGTTACATTTTTGACGGGAAATTTAATGTGACGAAATTGGCGCCAAAAATTTATATAATAGATATAGGTTCCCTTCAGAATAAATCTGAAAGAGTATACAAGTGGAAAAGGTCCTAAAAGACAAATTCGTTCAACTCAGGAGCGGCCGTATAAAATAAAATCAAAAGCGGTATTTCCACTATGAAAACTGTATTGTTCCATTTTTCAGTCGTACTGATTGGAAATGAATTAGAAAAGTACAACTACAACTACAATACAACTTTATTTGAATAATACACATGACAAATACAACATTCAAATCCTGCAATAGCAAGCTAATCGCGGCAGGAAATGAATCTAATTAAATAATATTATATATATACAACTGATTTATATTGAGAAGAAGTAAAATAAATTATTTACAGAACGAGAGTTTAGATTCCG